CGCGCGTTGGACGCACCGCGCGACACGGGCAACACCAAAGAACGGGCAAAAACCACTCTCTTAGTTAGTTACTGGCTTTCGACGTGTCGGCGAACCCTTGTCGCCGCGTCCTCGAGAACCCTTTCATCCAGGCACTCGACGATATCGCAGAGTCGGCGAAATTATTGCACCGTACGTGTACATATATATATATATATATATGTATATATATGTATACAAACATATACATTAATATATATAGAGAAAATATTATCGATCAGGCGCGACAACATGCAGTTGGTTGAGCAACGTAACGAAAAAAAAAAGACCGAGCTATCGAGAGTCGATCTCTTCGGTATCTGGGCTAACCTGGCCGATCCCTTGTCGATTCTCGGATCCATCGGCGCGCGTGTTCAGACGCCATACTCGGACACGGTGGAACAAACTCGGCGATAATCGTCGAGGTCCGGTGGTTAGTGGTTACGCATGCAAGCGCGCAAGCGAAAAATGCTATTCGATCAAGTAAAAGCAAACTATCGACTCCCATAACCCTAACGTCTCTTACCATATTCGCTATTCGGATGAAGATAATTACCGCTACCTGGACCGCTGAAACGTATAATTCACCGATCACTAGGACGATCATGCCGTTCCTTTTCTTCCCAGTTTTCTCTACTTTCGACACGACGCGATCTCTCATGCGGCCCGTAAACCAGAAACTCTAACCGCCGATCATTTAGCAACCGATCGCGCGTTCATCGACCATAATCGGCGCCAATCAGGCGCGTTTCTAACGATTCTTATCTACTTACTCGAATACTTTGTAAGGTGTGTGATGATAGGATTGCTGCTGGACGGGATTTCCGAACACGGCCAATGGTCTCAGTGGTATGTTCTCCTCGATACCCGTGAGCTTAGGATCCATTCCCATTTGGTTCATCGCACTGTCGCTCAAACCGCTAAATCACGTTTCGTATGATTTTTAATCGTCGCTTCGACATTCCGTCGCTCTCGTTTATCGTTCGTCACGCGTATCGTCCTTTACGTATATCGATACTAACCCTGCTACGTTTGGCACAACTTGATGAGATCTCGCGGTAATCTGATTCGGCGGGTCGTGTCCGCTTCCTCTCTGAAGCGACGAGTACGGCAGGAAGTCTATGGAGTTTGTCGGGGAAGCCTGCGGATCCAAACGAACGACATTTTAACGAATCTTCCGTATCTGCGCCTCTTTCCTCTCCAATTCTTGCAATTCTTTCGATGGAGGAAATTGTGGAAATCGCGCTTTACGTACATATATTTTACTTACTCTTACGACTTGCACAGTCCTCTGGATATTTACCTTAGTCGTGGAGTTCACTTTGAGCGACCTGGCTCGGTTAAAATTGTGATGTCCCTTCCTCATACTCGACCAAACGCTGCCGAACAACGAGTGGTTCCTCTGTAAAGCGACAAAGAGTCACGTTAGTTCGTGTACGAGAAAACGAAATTTACTATCGCGTATGCGAGCATCGATACCCTGTGCATAGGTTCCGGATTGTCGTCGAGCAGTTCTTCCAAGTTTCCGGAAATGGCTCTCTTCAGTTCGGGCCCGGCTTCGTGCAACGTTCTCAGACCAGCCTTTAACGAAACGATAAGGCGATTAGGCTACGACGCCGAACTGACACGCGTTTATCCTTCTTTCTCAAACGTACAACGTAGAAATTGTACGTTCGCGTTTCCGTCGTTACTTTTCGACGATCGTACGTCGCCCAGAGAATATACGTTTGCCACAAGTATTACCTGAAGCGTGACGGTGTTGTGGCTCTCCTTATTACCGTCCTTCAATTCTTGCTCCTTGCGCTTCTTGAATCTTCTGAAGTAATCCTGGATCAGGAAGGTGGCGTAGAATTTGCCCACGGTCACTTCGTCGTCGCCTAGAAGATTCGCGATCGATTAACCGATCCTCGATGAAACACAGTGGCTAACTGAACTAAAGAGCAGCGAGAGAATACCTCCGGGTGGCGGCACCACCTGATCCAGAAGCTTCGGGCTGGTCCTCTTCCAAATTTTCTTGATCACGGCTCTCAATTCCGCGTTAGCGTCGTCGATGTTTCCCTCGGTTTTAATTCGCAACGACGTCCTCACCACGGCGAACAGAGTCGCGTTAAACAGCACCGTACCGTCGCTGTTCAACGGCATATTCATCGAAACCAGCCTCTGAAGAATTTGACAAGAACGAGTTTCGTGTAGAAGGACGAAACGATTTAACGCCAGACGATATCGAGACACTAACTTTACAGGCGACGCGATGAGGGCAGAGTTTACCGAAACCCAAGGGCGGAGATATCTTTCTGAGGAGAGTGACCACGTCCAGGTGCTTGATACGACCTTTCGCGTCGGGATCGTACTCGGACCACAAACGAATAAACTCGTCCAAATGGTGAGGACCCAGGATCGACCAATCCCTCGTCAGGTAATCGAAATTGTCCATAATTACAGCGACGAATAGATTGATGATCTGCGAAACAAGTTGCTCGTCAATGTCGAAACGAAAAGAAGTACGAGCGATCCGAGACTTTCGCGCGATACCGTAAAACGTTGCAGGTTACTTACGAGGAACGAGCATAAAACGTAGAAAGATATAAAGTAGGGAAATGCAATGTCGGATCCACAACCATTGTGATTATTCACCTCGTCGCTTAACGGGTCGCATTTCACTTTACCGGGCTGCGCCGAACAGTCCAACATGATGTCTTGCCAAGCTTCGCCTGCGTCGTGTAAACGTCGATTTAACGCAACGTCGAAACGTTTAACTCTTAACGCTCTAAGTTTGCCTCTCAAGCACTACCGATGTGCGGTGTTAGAAATATTGTAATGAAAATGATATTACTTCTGGGACGAATGAAGATTGTCTTTCAATCACTCTGATATTATTATTTACACGTCACTGTAGCATCTAAAATTACTTACACTTAAAAACTTTGAAAAGTGAAAGTACGATGAGAATAAGTTGGAGTTGCCGTAAGTTAATTCACAATTAAAAATCGGAGCGTTAAGGGTTAACAGACTCGTAATTATTCGATTGACGAACACGTACCCGTAGCCGATCGAAACAAGACCAGCACCGCTTGTGGGAACGACTGGAAATTGTTGTTCCGGTCTATCGACGTATCGTCGTCGATCGCGATTTTTCCAAATACCTGAAAAAACGCACGAGCTCTTTCTCTCTAAACGTACACTGCGTTTTTGCCGCTAATCATTCGGGATACGATGGTATATGTGGGCGATTTCGCTAGACTCGAGATACGGTGACTGGTGAAAAGGCGTACCACGGCAGATTTTTGCGAACTCGTTACACGTGTCGTAAAAACGATGATCGTGATAGAAAGTTTCTATAAATATCGGATTACTTTCGCGATATATGTAAAGCGTATTCACGAGTCTTGGAAATTGACGCGCCATTCCGAGTAATTGCTTTCACCTCGTCGTGTCTTACCTGCATACCTATCACGGCGTAAATGAAAAATAGCATTATAATTAGCAGAGCTACGTATGGCAGAGCTTGGAAAGATTTGATGAACGTCCAGAGAAGCGTTCTGATGCCTTCGCCTCTGCTCAGCAATTTCACCAGCCGCATCACTCGAAACAGCCGGAAGAAGTTGATGGAAATGATGGTGGAGCCAGGCTGAAAGTATAAGATTTTAACGTTGGCCGTTTAAACGTCTGATCGGATAAAACAGTGATACTCAGTGCGAGCAGAGCTGTCGCCGAACAACGTACATTGACCTCGGAGTAAACGATGTCGATGAAACTTCCAAGCACGATAATGAAGTCGAAAACGTTCCAAGCGTCGCCAAAGTAGTTCTGTAATTAATCGGTTCGCGTTAATTGGTACGATTTGTCCTACTGTAGAGCGACGGAACATCCATTATAATCGCGTTGTTTGTTTCGTTTGACTTTCTACCTTAAATCGAAAGGCCGCCAACTTAAAGATAAACTCCAGGGCAAAGACCGCGGTGAAGATCATGTTAAGAACGTCTAACGCTTCCGTGTAGATTTCCGGTTGTCGATAAAACTTCATCGCTAAGGTCACCGTGTTAATCATGATCAGAGTGAAAATGGTGTACTCGAACGGCTGAGATGTGACGAACCACCACACTTTGTACTGTATTCGATGCTTCGGTATGTATCGTCGCACTGGTTTCGCCTTTAACGCGAACTCGATGCAATTCCGCTATGCAATCACGTGAAAAGTTTCTACATGTATACGACACGTACACGAGATGTACACTCCCTCCCGTTCATAAGTATGCGTTAGGACACCCGATGGTCTCGTGCATTCGACTAATTTCGAAAAGACCAGCGTGGCACTGCTTTCAACTTAACTTCAGCTTTAACTTTTAACTTAAACTGCCTTTGCATCGATCGCAGATAAACAACGGATCGATCGAGAGTGTCGTTCTACGTCGTTGTATCTCTGAATCCCTGGAAACGTTCCAAGATTATCGGATAGAGACGATGCTGGAAGCATAGGCCGTGTACAGTGCGAATCGATGAAATTTTGATCGCAACGTGAAACGTACAGGCTCTGTGTAATGGAAACGAGAGAAAAAGTGTCCTGATATTTATGAACGGTGGTGTATACGAGACGTAGGTATACGAGATATCGTGGTTGGTAGCCGGTTGGTATTCGGCAAACTTACCTGATTCTTATCGAGCTCGCAGTTTTTGTACTCTTGCTCACCCTCGTTCTGGAAAGTGACAATAACGAAACCAACGAAGATGTTCACCATGAAGAATGCTATGATAATGATGTAAATGATGTAGTACGCGGCCACTATCGGCCGAAAATTATGAATTGGTCCATGATCCTCCTTGTTAGAGTCGATCGACACGTCTAGTAATCTGTTGGGAGAGAAAATGCTAAGCGGTGTGCACCGTGGCTGGTGGCATCGAGCTTGTTCGTTTATCTTTTCTTTCCGTATACCGCTGTTAGCAATGGCGCAACGAACGATTCGATATTGCGAGAAGAAAGAAAAGAAACCTGTGTGTCCCGCTGGAAATACACTGGTTTTGTCGATTACGAAATTCGAAGAGGAGCGGAAGGAAGAAAGAGAGGAAAGTAGAAGAAGTAGTGGTGCGGGTGAACGCGGTAGACCACGCTTGGTTACTTACGACGGCCAGCCTTCGAACGTGGACACGGTGAAAAGCGTAAGCATCGCTTTCGCAACGTCGTCGAAATGGAAACGTTGCTGAATCCAACTTCTCTCCTTCATCACCGGCTTATTGATATCGCCGTTGTCGTACTCCAGGTACGTACCCCTGAAATTATCAACGCGACCACCAATGTTATTCGTTGTGGCTGTTTCGCTTGACCGATCCGATTTGCGGGAATCGTCGATGTCGCCGTTACTGGGAACGATAAACCGCGGACAAAAGGAAAACCTTCGTTTTACCTCGATGTACGTAGCGACGACACTGAACGATATCCCACGTTTGGGACTTGCGTTTGTTTGCGAGATAACTTACTGGCATTCGTCCTTCGTCATTTTCGATGCATCGGAACAATAGAAAAATTTGCCCTATACAACATAAAAATTCCATTAATGCGAAGCAGATCGCTGTCAATTAGAGGCTTCGCGCAACCTTTTTCAAAACTGTCGAACGTATCGATACTCTTGATATACTTTTACTCCTACGTTTCTTTTCTTTTCTTTTTTTTTTTCTAGAATTTTTAACGCGTTCCCAATGTATCTATGGTCGTCACGGAGATCGTGGAAAATCCGACAAATCGGTCATTCTTTCCATACGATATCACGAGTGTCGATAAAGTGGACATAGCGTATCGTTAATTGGCCATTCTCTGAAGCAAAGTCAGTAAGTAGCTAGTGATCGAGCAAAGTAAAAGGAAAGAACAAAGAAAAATTAAGAACTGGTAGAATGAAATAATAATAATAATAAAAAAAAAAAAGATTAGAAAATGAAAAAATATATACATATACATGTATATATACATATATATATACACATGTATGTCATTCCGTTAAGCGTGCACGATAATACGAGTCTATACGTGTGAAATATATACAAAATGTAGGCCGTGGTGCAGGCTGTCTCGTTTGGCCTACGTCGATCGAGCGACGTGGCACGTGCGCGAGTAAAATCGAGAGTCCAGAAAATAGTTGTCGCAGGTTCTTCCGATCAACACGATCGACGATCCGATCGTTTCGATCGTTTTCGACGGAGTATCAGCCGTCGAGCAATTGGGAACAAAGCTCGTCGAAGCATCGCGACGTGTTTAATTATCAATGGGGCAACTGTTGACGTTTCTTCGCAGGAGTTTCGTTCGCGAACAGACTTTAACCCGTTAACCGGACAAGACGAGATCGTTTGCGATTCCTGGCCTCTGCTAGACGCAACAACTGCTTCTTTATTCGTAGATATTTTATTTTTCAACGTTAGAACATTAGAACGTGGACGTTTAACCTCCGTCTAAATATACACCGTAGGTAGAAAATTATAATCGGACGATTGGTAAAAATAAATAAATATACAGGGTGAGTCGATAGGAAGTACGGACCGTTTAAAATAAGCGGTTGTATTTAATATCTGTTGTATTTGTCGTGATATCTCTTATAACGTCGGAAGGCTCAAAGCTAGTTAGTTTGGCAGATATCTTAACTTTAGTTTGTCAAATTTCACGCTAATTTGACGAGTTAAAGCTAATAAATTGTTCGCCAAACTAATGGTTCTTCGGTATAAACGGAACAATGCTCTTTTGCGTTATCGTCCGACCGACGTTGGAAAAGCATATACGGTGTTTAAAAAAAACCAGCGTGTTGTCTCGATATCTCAGAAAACAAGATGTTGGAAAAAGCATCTGGAGATCCAACGTGATTCGTTGGAGACTTTTCTCTACGAAACCAATAGGAAATAAAATAACGTAAATTTCGATAGTGCTACTTACCGACTCACCCTGTACATAAAACGATGTTTCTCCGTCTGAAGAAACTAAAATTCGAAAACGCGCATCTTCAAAAATCCTGAAGAATCTACGTGTTTTTGGCGATAGACGCTTGGAACAGTGGCAGTTGCAGCGTCAACGAGTCGTTTCGTTTCCATGGGAAATAAACGTACTTTGACAGAGACTGGGATCGACACTCGACTCGATTCGTTCATCTTAGCTTTAGCTTTCTCGATCGTAGAAGCTTTCGGTTAACGTGTTAAAGAATGAAATTTCGTATTCGATGGAAGCCCTACGCGCGATAGCTACGATTTCGACTTTCTGGTTGAGTGTTTTCGAAAAGAACCCTGCTCGAGATCCACGCGGTTTAATCGCCTAGAACCAGACTCGTTGCAACGACTGTCGCAGCACGACGAATCGTACGTTTCGAAACGACGAAGCTGCGCATTGCGATTCGTTCGACTTTCCGGATAAGCCGTGGAAAGAACACCGAGTGCAGCGTGGGTTTCTTGATCGTTCGTTTCGTTGCCCCTTTAAGAGCATCTAATAATTGGATCGTACGAAACGTTTGGATCGAGGAGTCTCGTTTCCTGATTTCGTGAAACCACGTTCGCCTTCGATGCGAACCACGATCGTTACGATAGAAAACGAGTTCACATGCATTCGTAGGTTTTCGTTGGCCGTTGTCCCGAACGGCAACCACGAGATTTTCAGGTTGGCTGACGCTACACTTGCTTCTAAGCCGCTTCTACTGACAATCTACCACTATATATCTGTGCATCTAGACGGGCTGCTCTGTTTCGAGCTTCGTTATCACGCGACGCGATACTCGTCTACTCGTAAGGTTCGAGCGATAGCGGCGAGTGTCTTCCAAGGCGATAACTAAAGGCGAGAGAAAGGCTGTTTGCAAGTGTGCAACTCGATAACGAACGCAGTTGAAATTTTGTTGGGACGGAGAGCAGTGGAGCTTGGCGATGGCGTAGATGGACCAGGCTAGGTTTGACTCGTGGTTCCGGTATATTTGCGCGTTCGATCAGCATGCACTACGATCAAAGCTTCATTCTCACATTTACAGCGAAACTTGCATGCCGATATGTTGTCTATCCGATATGTTCGATAGCTACGTATTCGTTAAAGCGTTCGTTAAGCGACGGTGACGAGTAAGAACGTTACTCTCGGTGGATGTTACAGCCCCGACTGGTTTTCTCGGTGAAGCGTTCGATCGTTTAACAGCGTGTGTTACCGTGCTCGAGGGTGTTATCGTGAACGCAGAGAGCGTGTCTCTGCAAAGGGTAATATTGGCAGCAACGAAGTATCCTCGAATAGGTTGATCGATCAACGTGCCAGTTTCGTGCTCCACCTTACCACGATCCTGTCCAACGTTCCGATAGAGCATTATCGATTCGTAAGGAGGACACCGACTAACGCGCACGAGGAGCAACCGATCCTTTCACCGTGTACACGAATTGGCCGTGATAGCGGAACGTTGCAAGGCGATAGAGTTCCATCGATCTTATTTACGCTCGACGATTGCCTCGTTTGCCGATATTCTCCTTTGTAGAGTCGAAGAAGGATCGAGAAAAAGTAGTCGGATCGAACGAGTTTCGATGGGCCGATCGGAGTATGCAGCGCGTCGCGAAATTCGGGGTTCGCCGAGAAGGTAAGTTAAATCGTGCGAAAGAGGAGAGACGCGAAATTTTCCACGGCGACTAAACGGATGGCGATCGGACAGCGGCAATTTCCGTCAACGCGAATGGCACCCCGTATTTCGCGAAGGAAATTTCCATTTCCGTGACGCGTCCAAAACTTCCGGTTGTAACGCGAGGCCGTCCGCGTCGCCGAACAGCCGACGGCCAAATAAATCAAACGGAGAAAAGAAAACAAGAATAACGAAAAGCAAAAAGAGAGAGCTGAAGAGAAGAAGTAGTAGTGGCAGTAGTAGTAGTAGCAGTAATAGTAGTAGTAGTAGTAGTAGTAGTAGTAATCAAAGAGTAGAAGAAGTAAAAGATAGAGGTAGAGGTAGGAGAAGAAGAAGGAAGCGAAAGACGAAGACGTAGAAGAAGAAGTAGAAGAAGAAAGAGAAACGAGATAGACGTGGTAGAGAGAAGAAGAGAAAATTTCTCGTTGGCTTAGTATAAACTTTCTAAGTGGTGGTGGTTGGCTTTACCTTAAACAGCTGTACCCCGATAACAGCGAACATGAACTGTAGGAGATAGGTGACCAACATAATGTTGCCGATCGTTTTAATGGCGACAATCACACACTTCACTACGTACTTTATACGTAGTTGGTTGAGGGCAGGCGAGCAGGGCGAACGAGCACAGCGGGGAACACGGGATCGTGAGACAGACAGACAGAAAGAGAAAACAAAGAAAATACAAAGTAGCATTAATCAAGGGTTTGGCTAGTTTCGCTCGTGGAGCTAGGTATCTTAATTACGAGGGGCTTTAGGGCTGGGGCAACGGGAATTTCGCTATTTGCCAACGTATCGTCGTATCATTTCGATCGTTGCACGCTTTTCCTTCCGCGTTTTCTCTTTTTCATTCAAAAACCTTCTTTCTTTCTTTCTTTCTTTCATTTCAATTTCGTTGCTCGCGTTCGTCTTCCCTTAATCTCTCTGCAACGCATCCCTTTCGTTTTCCTACCCTGTTTTCTCACCACCTCTCGGATCGCGTACGAACGGGCGTGCGTTTCCTATTACATTTTCGCATCGTAGCATCGACTTGCATCGAGACGTCGCTTTCGTCGGCTTTTCCCTCCGCGAATTCGTTTCGTTCTCGCGACACGGCGTTTCTCGACCACCCTCGTTCATCGTCAACGATAGTCCCGTCTTTCAGCCAGTCTTTTCGTCCCCCTTTTCCGTTTTCCTGGCTTTCGTTTCTCCTCTTTTTATGCTCTCTCTCTCTCTCTCTTTCTCTCTATAGTTTCCTGTTTTATCTATTCCGCTTTTTCTCTTAAAATTTCTCTTTTCGTGAATCGTGAACTAAGCCCTCGCCATCCATCCAACCCACTAGTGCTCGATGTTTTTCCTCGGCAATGCACCTATGGGGCCTCGTACGGGATAACGTATGTTCTCGTCGAATCTAATCTTCGGAAACCTTCGATCGTAATTGTTTCGCTTTCGATCGTCGTCGGCTAGGCAAAACTTTCGTCGCTGTTCGTCGCCGAATCGCTTCGCGGATCTCGATCGCGATCTTCTTCCTTCGGCCGTACGTTGCCGTCATATACGCGCGCAAAATAAAAGAAAAGTCGAATTTTCTGACGACAGAGTAGATAACGGTGTACGTATCGTAAAAACTTGTTGTTCCTTTAAGCGCTTGGTTTCTTTAGTCGATGGAAGCGCTGTGTCTGAGATACACGAGCAAACCAAACTACAAGAACGTTCTTCCGGTTCTGACGACGGATCTGTTCGATCGCGAAGAAAAGTAACTGGCATCGCAGACGCGTTATGCGTAACTAACACCTTCTGGGATATTTCATTCGCGATCTACGTTTCACAGTGTTTCTTTGTAAAAACCTCTCGAGTTTCATCGACCGAAGCAGGACTTTTCCGACTGCCAACCCATGTAATTTTCACCCTCTCGCACTCTTTCCAGGCACCAAGGACACGTTTGTCACTCGCCTTTCGCCTCTCGTTTCGTCGACGGAACGCAACCGACGCAAATCGTCGGAGGCTCGGCGATCGAACCAAAGGAAACTGCATCCTTGCAGCTTGAACGATCGCTCGTGAATCGAAGGAAACGGCGAACTAAAGCGTCTGGCTACAACTATCGGGTCGTTGACGATGCATCGACG